TACAATTCTCTTCCTCTTCCAAACCCTTCTTCCGTCTTTATCCTTCATCGTTTTTTTCTCCCGTATTCTATTTTATCCCTATCTTTCCGACCTCTCTTCCTTCACTCATTCCTCGTGTTTCCTCCACCCCACCTCCTTCCCTTCTATCCTTTTATTTTTCCTCCATCATTCCTCTTTCTATTTCTCTAATGTTCCTCACGCCTATTCCTCTCCCCTCCTTTCGCCCCTCGCGTTCTCCCTCCTCCCCCTCTCTCCTCACCGTCTCTTCCACGAAGGCCGTGTATCTATCGCTGACGCTGAGACCAGCGGGTCCACCGGCTTGGCTCGTTCGCCCGGCAGGCTCTTCTGGCGTAGGTGGGTCTCGTAGGCCTCCCAGTGGCTCCTCTCCGTCATGTTCCACGCGTCGGCCTTGCCCGACCACTTGCCGAGCCAGAAGTCCAGCATCGGACACACCTGCGGGGGAGAAGGGTCTCATCATTCTGCTTTGTGTGTGCTGCGCCGGTCTTGCTTTACCGGAAAGAAGGATAAAGGGGGAGAGAAAGGGAGGGCTACGGAGAGGAAGAGGAAGGGAAAGAAGGAAATGGAGAAAAGAATGGGTAGCGGGAGGGAGAAGGAAAATGAGTAAGAGAATGAGAAATACGAAGAGGAAAAGGGAGAAAGAGGAAAATACGTAAGGAAGAAACAAAAGAGAAAGAGGTAAGAGTGAGAGAGAACGCAAGTCAGGCGGCGCCTTACTTTGGCCCAGCAGCGCGCAGAAGAGGTATCCGAGGCCGAAGGTAAGGCCGCACGCACGCAGGTACACCACGTAGTTCCACTTGGAGATCCTTCCTCGCTCGCGCTCCTCCTCGGCCACCAGCCTCCCATCCCCGACGTCCTCCTCGAGAGGGACCTCTTCCTCAAGTTCCAGGTCTTCATCGAGGTCGTCCCGAGGTTGTTTGAGGAGGAGATGACACGGCCCAAGTGCCATTTATCCGAGGGCGACGTGCTCGGACGCTTCGTCGACCTGCGGAAGAAAGTCTATTCTGCTTACGTGTGACGGGCGCCTCAGCGTGAGGCCCTGCACCTCTCCGCTAAATGTGAATCGTGGCAGTTGGTGCCTTGCAACGACATTACTTTTACTTTGCTTCCAAGCAGCTGAATGAAAAGTAAGTGAACTTAGAAAACAGAAAATAAATGTGTGTGTGTTGTGTATGTGCAAAACACAACCACGTGATCACAAAGATGAAAATGAAACTAGCCACAATGAGAATTGAAAATAAGCGTGACGTTTCGAACTCTTCGCGAGTTCTTCATCAGACAAAAACCGAAATGGATACTAGGAGAGAATTTTGGCAAGTTTATATAGTGGTAGAGAGACAGGATGAACAAGATCTGAATCAGGTCTCAGGGGAGGGTCAAGGTCGAAGAGTCTGGGGAAGGCTTTGCTAACAAGTGATGAGTTAATATCATCTAATCCCCATTGGCCAGCACTCAAATTAAAATTAGGCAATTTTCTAATTATAAGGGCTTCAATTATTTTTCTTTCGTACGAGTTTGACGACAGCCAAAGCAGTTGCCTTTCCTGTTCCTCGTCAGAATAAGACTCCCGCTCCGGCCGCCGGGACGAGAGGCAAAAGGAAGCACATCGAGCCTTCTCTTCCGCTGCTGCAGGAGAGGGATTCGTCTATTCTTTGCAGTCTCACTTATATGCGGAATAGATGATGGAAAATCTTTGCTCAACTTTACTTATAAAGTTCTCATTACGCTTTGTAAGTTTTCCTTTCTCGAGATGAAAGGGGAAGAAAGGAAAGACATTTTTATCTGTGAACAAATTATATACGGAATAGAAAGATGAACATAATATATGCATACGAATGGAGCAAAAAGAGATGAATCAATAATAATGAAAAATATAATTATATACTTATAATAAGAAAGGAAAATAATTAGAATAAGGAGGAAAAGCAGGAGGAGGCGCTGGAGGAGAAGGGGAGGGAGATAACTAAGCAGAGAAGCCCTCCGAGAGCTACGCACTTGATGGAGGCGCTGGAGAAGAGTCTGTGCAGCATGTTGCCCTGCGGCGCGAAAGCGGGCGTGGAGCGCATGCGGGGCAGCGGGCGGGGCTGCGGCGGGAGGCTCTTAGCGTGGCGGGGCAGCCCTCCCCGCGCCGCCCGAGACGATTTCCTGCCGAAGGCCGGCGCGCTCGACTTGATCCTGGCGAAAAGGCCCAACGTTAATGGTCGGTACGAGGAGGCCGTGTGGGGCCTCGAAAAGGTTTCCGCCGAATATATCGGAACAACAATCGCTTTTTCACTAACACAAACCGACAACAAACAAATGAAGCAGGTGGACAGTACGTCCGCCCATCCACCTTCTCTGCCTATAATCAGGACTGAGGGTCACCTGAGGGTCCTCACACCTCGGAGGCTCACCTGAAGAGCGGGAGCTTGGAGGGCGTGTGAGCGAAGGCGTGTCTCGGCAGCGGCGGCGTCAGAGCGGGGAGGTATTCGCATTCGTCCCCCGGCAGGAGGGCGCTGTGGCTCACGTGGCGATTGATGCTGTACTTCCTAACGGGGCGCGGGCAGAACTCCACCTCCTTGCTCTGAGGTGGGGGTGGGGGGGGGGTATGAGCATTCAGGTAAATAGGGGCTGAGAGCCGGCACCGTTACTTATTTTACTCGTGCCTGTTATTAGCTTACTTTACAAAGAGCAACAAGGATCAGGAACAAAAACGCAACTTATATCAGCCAAACTTTGCTATCAGGACACGAAACGTACCTCTTCCCTGGCGCCCCTGCGCGTGTGGTGCGGCGACGCCGAGCCCCTCTGGATGGAGATCCTCGTGACGAGGCGAAGGAGCGACCACCTCTCCCTCGCGGTGCGCCCCTCGAGCCGCCCCTCGTAGTCGTAACCCCCCACGGGGCCCCCTCCTTCGTCCCCATTCGCGCCACAGCTCTGGCGCTGCCCGGGCCATCTCCGAGGGCGTGCCCTGGTGCTTGATACTACCGCCTTCCAGGTAGATGATCTGCGAGAGGAGGAGGATGACGTGGGTCACGCAGACTCTTTTCTTCGAGGCAACATGCATGTGGATGTCCTTGAAAAGTATGCATTCGTCCTCTCTACTAATGAGACAAGAAAAATGTACACACACACACACACACACATACTCAAATTCACATACGTACGGGCGAAAGGAAACGACCTGAGAATAAGCGAAGGACTCACTTTGGTGGCGTGGCGAGTGAGGTGAGTAAGGTGCGTCGCCAGGATGACGGTGCGTCGGCGTTGGAGGAGCAGCTTGACCACGCCCTCCTCCACACCTTGGCACTTACGCCTGCGTCCAGGGCGGAGAAGGGTGCGTCCTTGATTGTAGAGCGCGGGAGAACAGAGGGAGAACGTTAGATCGTGAAGTTAGGAGTAAATAGGTCAGTAATTATACAGATAATCATGTAAGGAACAAATGAATGAGAGCACATCAAATCACCGCCGCCTACCATGATGACTGTGCGGGCGTCGGAGTAGAGCGCCCTCGCGATGGCCACGCGCTGCCGCTGCCCGCCCGACAGGTTGATGCCCCGCTCCCCGATCTCGGCCTGGTCCCTGGGGGGAGGGCGCGGTCAGGAGAGGATGTTCAGGGGGAAGAAGAGAGAGGGAGGGAGAGGAGGAGAGAAAATGAGACAGAGAAATAGATTTAGAGACAGAGAGGGAGATTGACAGAGCTAATAAAAGGAATGCGTGCAAGAAAAAGGGGACACGATATCGCAATCACTAATTTTCAATATATCACGGCACAAAACAAATCGAACAACATTAAAATCATTCATGGCATATTCTTGCAGCGAATCGCTCTGCTCGCTTGACCGGCAACTCCGCAAGCGCCCCCGGACTCACCCTCCTGGCAGGATCTCGATGTCGGGGGCGAGCGCGCACGCCTGGATGACCCTGCTGTAGCGCTTGGCGAGGAGCTGCCTCCCGAACGCCACGTTGTCCCTGAGGGTGGCGTGCATGAGCCACGGGTGCTGCGACACGTACGCCACCGACATTTCGCTGGGGAGAGGGTCAGGAATGTTAAATTCGCTGGGAAGTGCGCTTCATATTCAAATCTGGGACGACAGCATCACCGATAAGCATCCTTACCCGTTCCACTGAAGTTCTCCCCTGAGTGTGTGCATCTCGCCCAACATCGCCAGCAGGAGCGAGGTCTTGCCCGCGCCCACGCCGCCACTACCACTGTCAGCCCGCCTGCGTGACGACAAGAAAAAAAATTGTGTCAACCGAGGAATAGTTCTAAAGACGACGTTAGTATCGTCCATAACAGTAATTGCAGTAACAGGTGCAGCAATTTACAGATGTAACTGTAACAGGCAGTTACTGCCGGTGTAGTGGCAGTAATTGCAGCAGTATTGACAGTCACCATCGTCATTATCATTCACACATTTTTGCATGGCCGATCGCCATGTCTGCAGAAAAATCCCGCTCCAAAGAGAGAAGCCAAAGCAGATGTGAGGCGCTCTTACCTGCAGGCACCTCCGTCGTGATGTTTTCGAGAACGCTGTGGCGGCAGGTGGGATCCCACGCGAAGGAGCCACTCTGGATGCGCACCGCTACCTTGCGGCCGTCGCCCCCGCGCTCGCCGTTTCCTCCTGACAGAGGGAGAGGAGGGAGAGGAGAAGGGAAGAAAGGAAAAGGGACACGGTTGAAAGTGGGTTGATCGTTACACAATTGATATGGTAATGAGAAATCGTATAGTTTGCGTTATCATTTGTTTTATGTCATCGTTTACATCATCATTATAATTGCCCTCTGATCGCCTTACCGCTCCTTCTCTTCTTCCAGCCTTCGAACTCCAGCTCTTCATCGGAGTCACTGTTCAAATCGACAGAAAACGGAGAGGTCCCGTTTTCTTTGGAAGATTTCTTGGACACACTCGAGGCGTTTGAGATTTCGGAGCAAGTCGAGGTCGGCTGCGTTAGGATTTAAGGAATATTTAAGCTTGCAAATTATGTACGTTTTTTTATGAGATTAAACCTCAAAAGATTACAGAAAATTGGTATAACTGCTGTGTTGAAATAATGATTTACAAAACTGATAGTTTACCCAGAAGAATTCGATTGGATTTTATTTTTGCCTGTCTTCTCTGGAGAATGTTTGGAGTTTTTTTTCTTTTCTTTTCCTATTTGACAACGCCTTTTCACTTTAGGTTGCATCTGAATTACGCTACATATATTTACACATTTTACCCGAATGCTGGTTCAACAAGGGACACTGAATATATTACGTAAAAGACTAGTGTTCTTCTCGGTCTTCGGACTCATAGATGGAGGTATATTATCGATGATTTACAAAAAAGGTGGAAAATACAGGTAAAACGATAAAGTCGTATGTCAATATGAAGCCTTTTAGTTTCAGCTCAACATCTCTTCTGTCTATGCCTATTGAGCGCACGTTCAGACAGGCGATTAAGGAATTAAAAGCGGTTGTCTATTTCTTCTTTTTTGTGTCAATTCAACTTATCTGTTATGATATGATAAAGTTTGTTTAGAATGTATTTTAATTTTCACATGAAATGACCGCTGCAGGCTTCACGTTGAGCAGATTGTAAATAAAACAAAAGAAAGATCAAGAAAACCCACGAATATCCTGGAGGCCTTGCCGCATCTTCAGACGTACCCTGAGAGGCAGTACAGCGAAGAGGCGAAAAGGCCGTCGGCAGATTCACGTTGTTTTATTCACACATACATACTATCACTCTCGCCCTCTCTCTCTCTCATACACACACACATACATACACGCACGCACACACACACACACACACACACACACACACACACACACACACACACACACACACACACACACACACACACACACACACACACACATATATATATATATATATATATATATATATATATATATATATATATATATAATATATATATATATATATGTCTTGATAAATACATCGGTGGATAAAAAGTTTGTGTTCATATCCTCACCCTGCTTTCCTCGACCACACGCCCCAGGCGATTCTGCCTCAGTCGTCGCGTCGAGGAGTCCTTCCCCCTTGGAGTTTCTGGGTGTCCTGCAGACTTTCCCTCTCCCTCCTGCTCTACCTTTAGCTCCTCCTCCTACCCCCCGCGTAGGATCCCCATCGGCCTGAGGGTAATAGGGGGTTTGGGGGTTCTCGGCCCTCCACCTCCTGCATATTCAGGAACTCCTGCAGGCGCCGAGTGCTGTTCTGTGGCGGCAAATGCGTTAGGTATTACCGCCGTCATCGGGCTTTCCTTTACTTAGTGTCATCAATATGGCAGTTTGCATCATACTAGCTCTGCTTCCACAAGCATTACAACGAGGCTAATAATGATTATCATTCTGCCTCTCCTCCTCTGCCTCTTGCCTATCGTCCTTCTGCCCCCCCCCCCACGCCCCCCTACCTTGGCCCTGATGGTGTGCGAGACGATGATGGCAGGATGAAGAGCGGCACCGTGAGCTGGTTGAAGAGCGCCAGGCCCGAGAAGACACGGGCGGGCTCCAGCGCCGCTCCCTCCAGCAGAGAGTACAGGCCGAAGGTCACGAGGCACACCACCACGCCGGAGCCTGGGTCAGGAAGGCTGTCGGGGTCAAAGGGCACGTGGAATCGGGGGGACGACCGGAGGAGGTCACGGGAAGAAAAACAATGCGCTTGAAAGGGAAACATTTTCTCCGCGCGTATGATTCACTCATTTACGCTGACGCGATCAAAAGCCAAGCCTACTTTTTTGAAGACTCACCACCTCACCTATTATACGCTAATCACATAATATTGACAATAATTAATAATTCAAATTAATTAAGAATTTTAACATAAAAATGAAAAGTAAAACTAATGGACAAATATATAAATGAAGTGAACACGTAAATAAATAAATCAGTCAACAAAAAGCAACCCTAGAAACCAATCTAAAATCCATAAACTAGAAATTAAATTAGGAACCAGGCGTTCCTCCCGGATCTCCACCCTTCCTTCCACTCCCGGACCCGCCCTCGCCGCCCGTACTCACTCATGAGGGCGCGGTAAAATGGAGTCCCTGTAGAGGAGGTGCAGCTCCCTCTCGCGGGTGCTGGTGACGCGCCGGATGAACACGTCCTCCCACGCGTGCAGCTTCACCAGCTTGATGCCCGTGACTAGCTCGTGGCGTCTGGCGCAGCCGCTCGTCCGCTCACGTCTGAGGTCGGCGGTTGGGTCAGTATGTCCACACACTCACACACACATAAACAATTGTCGAACGTACACAATTACATTTTATCTGGGCATGTGTGAGTGACTGTGCGTGTGTATGTAACGACGAGAGAGCCCTTATAAACCAAAGATTTGCACAGTGTTTCTCACGGAGCAAAAGCATCTCGTTTTCCAAAGAAAATGCCATCAATGCAAATGGTCCCCAAATCACAAAATGAAAAATGCTTTTCCTTCTGCAGGCGCTTGGAATCCGCAACGTAAAGAAGAAGCCTCACCAAGAAATTCTTATTGACGGCGGCGATCTCTTGCAGAGGACCAAACTGCAGCGGCGTCAGGAAGAGGATGCCAGCCACCGGCTGCCACCACGGCCGAGGCGCCGAGCTGCCAACCACAGGAGCGCCAGGATCACGCCGATCTGGGAAGGAGGTGGAGGGAGGGAGGAAGCAAGTAGCCAGGATGTGATATACCGTGATATAGGTCTAGTGAGTAATAACATACTGTATATTGGTTATGACACGTAGCAAAATAACAGAACTGCAGTCGATCAACCTGTAACTATAGGAACTATGCCCACTATAATGTACATCTACATAACAGTACATTTAAGCCAAAGACTAAAAAGTAGAGTAGCGCCCCCTTACCCTTGAGCGGGATGGCCCAGATATAGTGGCAGTGCATGAAGAAGGTCATGATGCTATCTGCGTCCTCAGAGCTGAGGTTAATGACCCCACCCGCGTCCACGCCTCCGCGAGCGCCCTGCGACCCGTCCTGACCTGGGGCAGTGGGGGAATTAAACACTTTCAGAAGCCATGAGTCTCGAAGGTGATGTTAATGTCTCTTCCACTCGCACATTAAGTTATCTAACAAAATACAGAGGACTAAACAAGACAAATCAATAACATAACCATTGAATAACTTAAAAAGGATAAACAAAGCAAAAGAAAAACGCGCAATGAGGCACGCCCACCTACCCTTGTCTTGGCTGCCTCGGCGGGGACACGCCTCCTGCTCCTCCTGTGTCGTTGCGGAAAGCCGCAAGGACTTGTGGTACACCATCGCCTGCAGCGCCGCCTTCACGTGGATGCCCTCCATCGCCACCAGGTGGGTGGAGGCCTGGCTGAAGGTGGACTGCGCGAGGGCGGCCACCAGTGCCACCACTGCCACCACCCACCCGTTACGCACCACCTCCGACCAGCCCACATAGAACAACTGTTGAGAAAGGAGCATGTGAGGCGCTGCGGATGCTTAAGCAACAACAGTCACGCTAGTCCTGTCTGTCGCCACAGAGCAGGATTGGCCACACTACACACAGTCTCTCCGTAAAGAAACATCATCCCAGTGTCTACAATAACCTCCTAGATAAACCACGCATCGAAGATAGTCATAGATTCTATGAATATCATCGTATATCAATTGGAAAATTTTCAAGGCGACTATAGAAAACCTAACCCAGCTATTTTATTCATTGTCATGCATCATACAACCATGACAGCTACCCCGATACAAAAAAAAAAAAAAAAAAAAAAAAAAAAAAAAAAAAAAAAAAAAAAAACGATAATATTCATTTCAATAATATATCATTGTAATCAGTGACGTAACTATGCTGTTAAAAAGGAAGGTTGAGAAGAAGCAAATACTTTGCTTTACACGGAACCAGCCAGTTTCCAAGTTTCTTCTTGATTTCATCTTTTTTTTTTTTACTTTATGCTTTCATGATATTTGGGGGTGGCATTCTATAATTGTTCCCTGGCGCTCATTGTTCACCAGGGCGTAAATAAAGTGAACTCCGTGTCTTCAGTGTGTCGGAGTGGGTATGTTTGCATTCCTTGATAAAATGAACGTTTAATCTTTAAAATATTAATGATTAACCATTGTTAGTTTTAATATGTTACTTTTACTACAGTACAATTTTACCTAACATGATATAGTATTCATCATTGAGATGAACAAGTAGCAAGTTTCCTAGTAATTATACTACAGGTTTTGTTTTGGCATCATCTTTTCCTCTCTAGCTGGGGCGAAAGACTAACGCAACTGTTCTCGCTCGGTGCCGCTTTAGGAAGGGATTTTCATCTCGGTTCCCTTCATGGCTGGGAAATATCCTGCTCTGTAAAGGGATCCCTGGACAGAAAATACTAGCGTAACCGCCCGTTTAGGGGTTAGAAGAATAGAGAAGTTGGAAAGGAAAGGGAAGGGAGGACGATTACAGGAGGAGGGAGCGAAAGGAATGAGTAGGAGAGAGATAGGCGGCACTGAGTGGGAGAGGTTTGGCTTCACTGTGGGTACAGGATTAATATGATTAAGTATATACATTAGTGCAGAGAGGAGAAAAATCCTGCCTGCCTTGGCATCAGTCCACCTGTCACTGACCTTGTCCACGACGACGCCGCTGCGCACGAGGGTCCCCGCCTGGACGTCGGTGACGTACGTAACGATGAGGGCGATGGCGAGCGGCGCGACGCAGTTGACGGCATCGCCGAGCACCTTGAAGGCACCGCCGGCCGCCATCTGCCGCCAGTAGGTCCTGACAAAGACGCGCCACAGCGAGGGTGCCCGCTTGGCGTCTTTGGTCTGGCACCGCAGCTGGGGAGTAAGGCAGAGGTAAAGCGAAGGGGGAATGGGAAAAGGAAAAGAGTAGACTGTGAGGCGAAGAGGCAGACAGAATAGGAAGACAATACGAGAGAAAGACATGTGCTACGGAGGAAGATAATTGTTTATTCTGATGATGCAACACCGAGGCACCAGCCAAGCAGTGTCATCCTTTATACTCTTTGTTATAATCCTCCCTATATTCCCTTC